AGCGAGCGGGGACTACTCTTCGTTGCAGTGTGCAGGCTTCTCATTGTGGTGGCTTCTCTTGCTGCAGAGCACGGGCTCTAGGTGCCCAGGCTTCAGTAGTTGTGGCACACAGGCTCGGTAGTTGTGGCGCACGGATTTAGTTGCTCTGTGGCACGTGGGATCTTCCTGGAGCAGGGCTCAAACCTGTGTCCCCTGCACTGGCAGGTGGATTCTTAACCATCGCACCACCAGGGAAGCCCTCTTTTAATAATTCTTAAGTGAGGTTCTGTACTAAACTCATGTCTAAAAATGTTTCTTACAGTCATTCTTGAATGTTATTTTAGCTGTGGATAAAGTTCTAGGTCAATATATACGCCCTCAGCATTTGAGACATTGTTTCCTGGACTCTACTGTTGCTGATGAGAAGTCAGCTGCCATTGTAATTGGTGGCCCTTTGTATATAGTGTCTTTTTTTTTTCTTTTTTTTCTTTTTTTTTGCTGTGTTGCGTCTTCATTGCTGTGCACGGGATTTCTCTAGCTGAGCCAAGCGGGGGCTACTCTTCGTTGCGGTGCGCGGGCTTCTCACTGACGTGGCTTCTCTTGTTGCGGAGCACGGGATCTAGGCACACAGGTTTCAGTAGTTCTGGCCTGTGGGATCCAGAGTGCAGGCTCAGTAGTTGTGGCGCACGGGCTTAGTTGCTCCCCAGCATATGGGATCTACCCAGAGCAGGGCTCGAACTCATGTCCCCTGAATTGGCAGGTGGATTCTTAACCACTGCGCCACCAGGGAAGTCCAAGAACTAGGTCTTAAATAGTGTTTTGAGCCTACTTTGATACCCTTAAATCACAGATCTAGCTACTGAGTCAACAGGCTACTTGTCTGTTTTTGGTTTTAAAAGACCCAAAAGCCATGTTTTTCTCATTTACTCTCATTGGGCCCAGTTTTTTATAAAGCAGCAGTCCCAGGCCGAAAGTCAACAGTTTTCCCAGCCTGCTTTCACAAACTGACACCCATCCCAGGCCCTGGCTTTGATCACTATTCCTAGCTCTTTTGCCTCAGTCATGGAGCTCTCAAAAAGATTTTTACGAACAGAGGTCATGGTCTTGGCCACCCTGGTTCTAGACCCAGAGCCCGAGTTCCCACTCACCATGAGGGCTTTCTCTTCTATTTTTAGTCACATAAATATATCTGCTTTTATCTTAACCATTTTACCTGTTATTGTTAAGTGTGTGAGGCAGGGGAATTGTGTAGAAGCATGGACTCACTTTAATATCTCAATCAGAGGTAATAACTTTATACATTTTAAAAAATGATAATGTACTTTGTAAGCAGAAAAAAAGCTTTAACAATTTTAACATTTACTCGCTTTACTATAACAGAGGCAAATAAAAAGTGGAGTTATGGATGTAAAGAGGAGAAAGAGCCAAATGCTTATCACGGGAACTGGAAAAAGCTTCACATTTCAACCAGTTGTTTGCCCACATCCTAAAATGGTCTATGGATTCACTGGAACCATAAAGGAAGAAGTGAAACAAATACTTAGTCATATCTAATGAACTTGTTAGAAAAGAGTGATACAATACTTGGTAGAAATGTCTCATCAGAGATGAAATGGAAGCTGTTCCCCTGCAGTAGCGCAGTGGAGCCAGTCCTTTGTGGGGCAGGAGGTGCACAAATATCAATTTAGTTTGCTTCATCTATGTGTCTCTGGTCTGCTCTGTCCTTTGTTATACATGGAAACTGGGGCAGTTTAGCAACTCACTAAGAAACACACAAGAAGATGGGCAGCAGATGGGGAAGCATCATGGGCTGGGGCTCACAGCAGTGGTGAGAGCAAAGCAGTCCCCAGTGAACTAGGTGTCAGGTAGGTCAAGAAAGAGGGTCAAGTTCTGAAAACTGGAATATGGCAGAGAGGGTGGAAATAAGACAAGTGCTCTGATACTAAAACACACTAAAGTCAGAATGAGTTCAACAAATGAGGGCAGGGAGGAAGTTAGTCCCAAGCCTGAGGTTTAGCTGGGTTTCTGGTTGAGACTGAGTGGCTCCAGCAGTGGAGATAAAAGACCCAGGTCAGACAAGGAGCCATACGTGTTAAGTCCATACATTCAGAGCATGAGACCTATCACCAACATGGATGAAGATCCATGAAATTAAACTTTAGATATTTTAATGCTGTGCTCTAGTTCTATTTTTTAATATTATAAGTGGACAGTAATTCACAAACAGCAAACTATAGGAACCTGCCTAACTCCTCAAGAAAGAAGCAATTTGCACACAGAAAGAGATATGAATATAAATTCAAGGTATTATTAAAGGCAAGTTCATTCCCTTTTCTCCTAGCTGTCAATTACCTTAAAATAGTAAAACTTTAAAACAATGTACCCCAGACTCAATAGTACTATTAACTTTTTTAAAAACAGCAAAAAAAAATCTACTTCAGATCCAAATTTCTTGGTCAAGTAAAACTAAGAGATTGATCACTAAATTACAAAAACAAATCCGTATGTAATAAGCTCAACTTTTAAATAAAGGTTTCTTCCCACCAGTGCCGGAAAATAAAATTTTCATGAGTTGGCCTCACAAAGGTTGTATCTGGACCAGAAATGCCCAATTAAAACAGACATAATCGAAGATGCTGAGTTCTGAGTGGTTAAGCACTATGGACAAGGTACTAGCTAGTCAGAATGGCTACTGGTAAGGTGAGTTTGAATTATTGCCTGGAAGGGTAACAGCAGTGTCATATTAAACATTTACCCAGGGCTTCTTTTAAGTATCTGGGGAGGTGACATACCTTAAATATTAATGTTACTGTTTATTCATCAAATGTTTATGGAACCCATACTATGGACCCAAACCCTGTATTAAGCACTAGATCTGGTTCTCAAGGAGCTTACCATGAGTTACACTGTTAATAAAAGCATATTATTAACACAAAAATTAAAATAAATTATGTGCTGTGTGCCAGATATTGTACTAGGTGTTTTATATTAGTATTTCACTTAATTCCATTTTAAATGTGAGAAAACTCAGGCTTAGAGGTTGAGTAACTTGCCCAAGTTCACAGAGCTAGGATCTGGTGCTGTAATTAGAACTCCAATCTGTTCCAGAGCCCCAAATCCTATCCATTATGCATATTGCCTCTGGTAAGGGAGATAAGACATAAAGAGCATAATTATCATATAAGGTCAAAAGTGAAAAAGGAAAAAAGAACTGTAGATAATTAAGGACATTCAAGAAGACAAGTGGGTAAGCAAGGAATGGCTTTGTGAAGCAAGTGATATTTACACAAATTTTTGTCGGATGGATAGGATCTGGTTGTACAGAGAAAGGATATGAAGGACAAGGTGTAAAAAGTATGGGTGGTGGAAGGCGTGTTGCACCAGGAATCGGAAGATCAGGTTCAAGCTTTACTCCTCCTTAACTGTGCACAAGAAGTAAGCCACTTACCTCTCTAGGCTTCAGGTTATTCTTATGTAAAATGTCCAGTATTGTTCATTAAAAAAAAAACAAAAACATAAGCTAATGCAAGAAGATAGTCACAGTAGAGTCATTTATAAAAGTAAAATCTAGGAAACAACTTACCAACAATCAAGAAACGGGTAAATAACTCAAATTATTATGCAGCCTTTCTGACAATAATTCTGGATACTGTAGCAACATAGAAAAGTGTAACAAACAGCAAATAATAAAAACTATTCAATACTGCACTATTACAAACATACATATGACCAAAACTAAAGCATAGTATACAGAAATACAATTTGAAAAATAAAAATACACATGCCAAATCTGTTCCCCAGACCTCTTAAAGTAAAAAAACTCTAGGGGGCTTCCCTAGTGGCGCAGTGGTTGAGAGTCCGCCTGCCGATGCAGGGGACACAGGTTCGTGCCCCGGAACAGGAAGATCCCACATGCCGTGGAGCGGCTGGGCCCGTGAGCCATGGCCGCTGAGCCTGCGCGTCCGAAGCCTGTGCTCTGCAGCAGGAGAGGCCACAACATTGAGAGGCCCGCGTACCGTTAAAAAAAAAAAAAAAAACAAAAACTCTAGGGATTCTCCAAGTGACTCTGATGTATACCCAGGACTGGGAGGCACTGATAGGATATCTAACGTTTCTTTCAACTTCAACATTCTAACTCTTTAAGTGCATTTCGTATACCATGGCAAAGTAGACAAGTGCTAAGAACAGATTATAGAAACGTACAGGGAATAAAAATTAGTTTGGGGTAACTGCACCACAGGATCTGTCAAAGAGAGCATGAAGGAACATGAAGGCCTTGATAGGTTAAGGAGGGGTTTGGACATCATGCTGTTGGCCATGGAAGGTTATCTATAGCTTCTGAGCTAAGTAAAATAGTGAGAGCAGCACCAGCTCTCTGGAGTCTGGAGTCTTAGCAGCCTTGGGGTTTCTGCTGCCTTTGGCTGACATCATTGGATTTAAAGGGCCCTCACTGGTCTCCAAAAATGTCCCTAATTTTCTTATGAAGACAATCTAAGATAGCTCTTAGGGAGAGCAGGGATGTCAGTTACCTGGCATATTAGGTAGTACTATATTCTCCCTCACCTGAGGCAGACTTCACTAACCAATCACAGTACTCTTTCCCAATAAGCCTAGTTGGCTTCAAAATAATTCTCAATACTTCTCATAGCCCTCCAGGAAGCCAGGAGACCCTTCTAATGGCAGAGATTTTTCCATCTCCCTACTCTTGAGCCTTAGAAGCAGAACCTACTCCTTCAATCTGGCTAAGAAGTGCTCCAAGGATTGGACAGGAACTCTAACGGTTCTAACTTCCTTTTGTGTGTGTAAGTACGTCACAGGTTCATCTCATACCAAGGGAAAAAGAAAAAAAACGGCAAACAGGAACGTAATTCCTAGTTAAGGTAGTGAACTTTAAGGATTAAAAATAAATCATATAAAAGTACAGACAAAACTAAATTTATCTATAAAGGAGGGGTGTGGGGGGAAAGCTGGCTTTGGTCTCCTTCTTAGCTACATCACATGCCAGTAGGTACAAAACTTACAGAATATTGATGGGAATTCTTTATCCAGACTGTTGATCACGTTTGAAGGCAACAGAAAAATGTTCTCAAATATGCAAAGAGTCAAGAAATACACCAGCTATGTACACTTCTTCTCAAAAATGTATCTGAAGATATCATCCAGCCAACCAACTAATGAAAAAAGAGAACACGCTTTTGATTTGGAATTTGTGACATGAAAGGACTAACAGTTAATATTTGAACTTTTAAGGCTAAATAAGTAGGAGGATGAGAAGAAATATTAACTATGATCATTTCCTCACATTTAATACAGTGAACAAATAAATTTTATTCTTGATGAATATATATGAATATTATTTAAAGATACAAAAAAGTAAAAAACAGAGAAAGCGACAAGGATTTACTGTACAGCACAGGGAATTATATTAGGTATGTTGTACTAATCTATAATGGAATATAATCAAAGGAAAAAATAACTGAATCACTACGCTGTACTCCTGAAATTAACACAATATTGTAAATCAACTTTACTTCAATTAAAAAAAAGAGAGTCTATCATTTAATTTACCAGAAGATGGGAAGATATACCAAAAATACATAGAGAAATGTGTGGAGGAATATGCAACAAAATATATTAACATGTTATCTCCAGATGGCTGGATGGAGGGTAAGTTCCGCTCTCTTATTCTTTAAATTTCACCAGAGTTCCCCACCTCACGGCCTTAGGACTTGCTGCTCCCACCACCTGAAATACTCTTAACCTATACTCTTAACCTATCTTCACATGGCTAAGTCCGTCTCTGCGAGGCTGTCTCTCTCTCATTACTTAGATACAGCTCACATATGATTTATTTCCTCAGAAAGGCATTCCTTGATCATCCAGTCTAGAGCAGTCCCATCCCCACAAATCACTAGTATTTTACTGTCTTATTGTGTTCATGGCACTTTATCAGTATCTTAAATTAAAAATTATCTTATTTTTTCTTTGAATACTGTTAATCTTCCACACTAGAAATGGAAGCTCCATGAAGGGAGGGGCTTGTCCCTTCTGTTTCAATGCTGTATCTCCCCTTAGGACCTTGAAGCATACTTTGGCACATAATATTTGTTGAAAAATGTATATCCATAAGTTAATTTTGTAATCAGAACAAAAAAATAAAGTTATTTACTTTTGAGATATGAAAGAAATAAAAGCAGAGAGAATTAAGTTAGTTAAAAAAGTGGGGCTTCCCTGGTGGCGCAGTGGTTGAGAGTCCGCCTGCCGATGCAGGGGACACGGGTTCGTGCCCCGGTCCGGGAAGATCCCACATGCCGCAGAGTGGCTAGGCCCGTGAGCCATGGCCTCTGAGCCTGCACATCTGGAGCCTATGCTCCGCAACGGGAGAGGCCACAGCAGTGAGAGGCCCGCGTACTGCACAAAAAAAAAAAAAAAAAAAAAGTGAAAGACTATACTAGGATATCATTTTATGCACACTTAATTGTCAAAAAAAATGTAGAAGTACGAGAAACTTAAATGTTGGAAAGGATATGGCTCAATGGGAACTCATATGTCACTGGTGGAGTATAAATCAATTCACTACTTTGGTAAACAATGTGACATTCTCTTATAGGGCTCATCATTTGCATATCCTATTACCCAGCAATTCCACTGCTGGAGAAACCTCTTCATATGTATGCACCAAGAGACACACGTTATAATGTTCACCGCAACACTGTAAAGGCAAAACAACTGGACTCCTAAACAGCCATCAAAAATAAAATGAATAAATTCTGGTACATCAGACAAAACTGGAAATGAATGTACTGCAGCTACCCAAAACAACATGGATGAATCTTAGTATGATTTAGCATAATCCCCATGATTCCAATTTTATAAAGGTTAGAAACAGAATTAAATACATTTTTGTATATAAGTAGATGTACAAATTAAAACAAAAGCAAAAACATGATAAACATGTTCCATATATTCTTTTGTGTCAGCTATTTAAAAAAACTTAAATACGGAGACTTCCCTGGTGGCGCAGTGGTTAAGAAATCTACTGGCCAATGCAGGGGACACGGGTTCAATCCCTGGTCCAGAAAGATTCCACATGCCAGGGAGCAACTAAGCCCGTATGCCATAAGTACTGAGCCTGCGCTCTAGAGCCTGCGAGCCACAACTACTGAACCTGCACACCTAGAGCCCGCAGTCCGCAGCAAAAGAAGCCACCGCCATGAGAAGCCCGCGCACCGCAACAAAGAGTAACCCCCGCTCGCCACAACTAGAGAAAGCCCGCCTGCAGCAACAAAGACCCAACGCAGCCAAAAAATTAATTTAAAAAATTAAAAGTTAAATAAGAAAAAAATTGGACCTCACTTTGGAGTTGACCATATCTATCATTCAAATATGAATACTACACTTGTAGGAATTTTGGTTACAAACAACGAATTTTTTAAAAAATATATTAGTTCTAAAAAGAAAAACTTTAAAAAATTACAGTAGGCCTCTGACTTAAAGCTAACCATATTTTACAACTGTATTTCCTATATATAGCAGAGTAGGTCTTCAATAAATATATATTTGCTCAATGAATGATAGGTGATACATAACTGAAGGACTATTAATAAAAACAGCTAACTTTTATCGAGCTAGGAACAGTTTTAAACACTTCACATAAAGTGTTCCATTTAATTTTCATAATAATCTTATGAGGCAAGTCATATATATTATCCCCACTCATGGAAGTACTGGGAAGTTCTATGAGAATATAGAGAAGAGAGTACTTGTCTCAGCCCCAGAGGGTCGAAGATTATTAAAATGCCCTAGTTAGGAGCAAACTGGAGCAATTAAACTTATTTCAATGCAATTTGAGTTTCTGAAGTTACATGCTTCACTTTCCTTTCTTTCACATTTTGATGTAGTCTATCAGCAATAAAATTAAGGCAAATGTATTGTTAGGCTCATGTAAATTTTAAAAACTGTAACTGGTACCCTTTAAAAATCCTGAATTCAAAAGTACGGCACTGGGCTTCCCTGGTGGCGCAATGATTGAGAGTCCGCCTGCCGATGCGGGGGACACAGGTTCGTGCCCCGGTCCGGGAGGATCCCACATGCCGCGGAGCGGCTGGACCTGTGGGCCATGGCTGCTGGGTCTGCGCGTCCGGAGCCTGTGCTCCGCAACGGGAGGGGCCACAGCGGTGAGAGGCCCGCGTACTGCAAAAAAAAAAAAAAGTACAGCACTATTTACGTTGGAGAAAAGAAAGGAAATTACTAGATATCATTTGGTTGTATATAGTTTAGTGAAAGAATTGAAGGCGTGTGAGGTATAATAAACTGGTTCATTTTCACGAACTTAGGAAATTCTTGATAAAATGTGAATGCACAAAATTTTAAGGAAAACTTCTAGAATGAAATGGGGCTTTGTGATGACTAAATATTTTAGAAATGTGCATTACAAATTTCCAGTTTAAAGATGAAAAATGTCATATCACCATGGGAACCCTCTCTCCTTCACTTCTAAAAAGAATTTCAAGTAAACAAGACCAAAAAGTGAGAAACATATATGTTTAAAAGTCCACAATAGGGCTTCCCTGGTGGCGCAGTGGTTGAGAGTCCGCCTGCCGATGCAGGGGACACGGGTTCGTGCCCTGGTCCGGGAAGATCCCACATGCCGCGGAGTGGCTGGGCCCGTGAGCCATGGCCGCTGAGCCTGCGCGTCCAGAGGCTGCGCTCCGCAACGGGAGAGGCCGCAACAGTGAGAGGCCTGTGTAGCGCCAAAAAAAAAAGTCCGCAATAAAAAGTCGTATTATTTAAGACATGGTAGCCTAAAGTATCACATTTAAAAAAATAAGCACTTGCTACTAGTTTGGGTGGGTTACAGGTTCTAATTTGCCCCATCCTACATCTGCTTCAAACAGCTGCTTCAAGCAGTTCATCTCTGCATCTCTGTAAAATGAGGTTAGACTAGATCTTTAAGGTGCCTTCTAATTCTAACATCCTATGGTTTTATAAAGACAGTACTTTTAAGCAAGATAATTTAAAAAATTCCAATCTTCAAACCAGATACAGTAGTTCTGATCCCAAATGTAAAACTTTTAACTGCCAGGCTTAAATTAAAATACAAGCTAAATGTGTCTCCCTTTCCTGGTGGGAAGCTGAGAAAAACCAACTCAGGTGTCTTGGGTTTCCCAGGACTAGGGTTTTCCCACCACTAGAGTATTTCTTAAGAGAGAAAATACCAAGGTTGTGTCAGAGAAGCAATCGAAAGAGGTCATATGAAGAGGGCCAGGGAGAACAAGAAAAGAATAGAGGTAATATGGATAAATATCCAAATAAACTCCCTAACGAAGACTTCATTTTGTAGATATCAAATCTCCTAATATTTGTATCCCTTTTACCTACTTCCTACCCACTTTCTCTAAGTTTTTTTTAGGTGAAAACAAAACACCTCAAATTTAGTTTTTAACTATGCAAAGGGGCGCATAAATATTTCTGAATGAAAATCGGAATTCTGTCTCTATCCCTGGAGATCTTAAAAATCTTTTTTCCAGTAATACAAGAGGCCCTAAGGTACTTGGTCAAGAATACATTGGTCTAGAACTTGTACTAATTTTTATCTAAAAGCATAATTACTTTGATGAAATTTATATAAGATGATACACATGGGACTTCCCTGGTGGCGCAGTGGTTAAGAATCCACCTGCCAATGCAGGAGACACGGGTTCGAGCACTGCTCCGGGAAGATCCCACATGCAGCGGAGCAACTAAGCCCGTGTGCCACAATTACTGAGCCTGTGCTCTAGAGCCCGCAATCCACAACTACCGAGCTCACGTGCCACAACTACTGAAGCCTGCGCGCCTAGAGCCCGTGCTCTGCAACAAGAGAAGCCACTGCAATGAGAAGCCTGCGCACCGCAACGAAGAGTAGCCCCGGCTCGCCACAACTACAGAATGCCTGCACACAGCAACAAACACCCACACAGTCAAAAATAAATAAGCAAATAAATTTATTTTTAAAAATATATATGATACAGTATCTATTACAAGGGAAGTATCTTTCTATATCACCAACTTGATGAGGCATATTCCATTACGAAAGTCCTACATACACAATATATTTCATTTTCAAATTGTGACGTGCTTCTGGTAATAAGTATGTACATTGAAAATAAAATTCTAAATTTGAAAAAAA